TAAGGTCCCCTCTCAGCCTTCTCTTCTCCAGGCTGAACAAGCCCAGCTCCCTCAGCCTTTCCTCGTAGGAGAGATGCTCCAGTTCCCTCCTCATCCTTGTAGCCCTCCGCTGGACACTCTCCAGCAGCTCCTCATCTTTCTTGAAGTGAAAGATGAGTGACAGATGACCCACAGAGGTCCCTTCCAACCCCTAACATTCTGTGATTCTGTGGTTCAGGATGGACTTCATCACTCATGCAAATTCTCTGCCAAACTAGAGAGGCGAGCAGCCAGCGGGTGAAAATCACGGATGCTGGCTTGCAGGAGCAGCTTCAGCGACAGCCACGGAGCAGCTCAGCCGCTCTCCCAGCATCAGCTCTCGGGGTCTGGGTGCTGCACGCCACCCAACTCCCGCTTCTTCGGCTGCCTGCACCCCACAAAGCCCTGGCGACCGTTCCGTGAAGACTACGCATGAGAAAGGAAAGCGCTGGATTTTAATGATCGATAGATGATACAGCACTGTTGTGTTTTGAGATAATTTCTTTTCAGATTTGGTTTCCACTCTGTTTTCTGTTTGGGTCTTTAAATAATTCTAGCCTTGACGTTTGTCTTGGAGCTTGCCCATTGACTTGAGGTCCCACTGCAGCTCGCCCTGCGACAATACTTCTGGCGTCCTGTAGTAATAATAGTACTGCAGATTAAATTTACACTATACTCAGGCGTCTTTAAGTATCTGATCGCACAAAGTTTACAGAAGACTGAGCAAGAGCTTTGCAGGGCGTCTGCAACAACTCACTACCGCAATCTGACCTAACGCAGTGCCTGCACCAACACGGGACGCACCAGGTCTTCATCAGCGCAGACGTGACCAGCGTCTGCCTTTCTACGGATCACAGAGGCTGCACAGAAAGATCAGCACCGTAATAAGTTACGTCACGTCTCTCTGGGTACATCCGAGTATCAGTAAGTGCCTGCATGAGTAAAAGGACCCTGTCCTTCACATGTAGCTCAAGATGGCAAAGGCCTCAACAAGGGGCACGTAGGTGAAGCCAGAAACAGAGACCAAGTCACAGCACACAAAAAAAAT